TTTCTCCAAGCGATAAACACAATAACAAATTATGCCAATCAGCGGCTCTTATTTATATGGCAGAATTTAAAGTCACACCATTATTGTGGCAGCTGGCGGAGGAATAATATCTAAGAAAATCATTGACTACTAGTAACCTCTTCTATTCGAATTTTTTTTGACAACATAAACAAATGAACCATTGAAGGATAACCATTTCTAAAAGTAAAAGAGAAGAAAACAAGACCATAGATAGTATCAAAGAAAAAGCTATGGAGTTATGAAAATTGGACAACACCATGCACATTTGGCATATATTTGGATGATTGAGCTTATTCTTCTTTTGTAACGAGTGAATGAATGTCGCCCATTTTTATTCGTAAATAGAGTCTTCTTTTAGCTTATATTTATATACTCTTTCTTTATACACTAGAGAAGTTATTAAGAAGGCAATCTTCCTCTCTAAATGCATCTTTCAAAAGAAAAAGAAAATTTGGAGGCATGCATGATACCATGTTTTAGTCTCACATTTCTTATAACAAAGACTTTCTAGATTACTTGTTAAGGCTTAACTTATGACGAAATAAATAACAGCCTATGATGCTCACAGATAAATCTTTTACTGTTCTTTATCTCACCACCATGGAAGAGTTCAGTTTTTTAATGGTAATTTTCTATTTATAGGTATAAGCTCAATAACTTTTATTTTCCAAATTCCAATTATGTGATTAGAATTCATTTTGAAGTTCAAAGAAGGTGAAAGAATATTTTCTCCATTTGGTACCAACACAAACAAAATGATATAAATTAGACATAGACACAAAACAGAAGTTTTAGTTCTATGCTTGGGAACCATGAGGGGAAAAAGAGTGACGAGAAGGGGGAGAAGAAGATGATAGATTTATGCTAGTTTTGATGGCATAAATAGAAGGTAGGGAAAGCGGATGAATATGTTACAAAACTTGTTTGTTTAAGGAGTGGGAAAGGAAGAAAATGGTGCTTTTTATACCATTTTACTAGTGTATCCTTTATAAGTGAAAATTATGAAATGTTTAAAACAATATAAACCATGTTTCATTTTATGTGAGAAAACTGTAGGGATCCAGTAAATTATTGGGATTTCATCAGGGTAACTGCAATCCCATCAGTGTCAAAGCTGGAACTGTTCTTTACTGTCTAGCTCTTAATAGGGAAATGGCGTTTCCTGAATTTTGACAAACAAGTCCATCTATCTCACAGGTTCAGCGGGTCTAGCATGTCGTGCTTCTTAGACAAGTCGATTAAATTGAATTGTTGTTCTAAAAAGTGTCATCAGTTTGCTTTTAGTCCACTATCAGAGAAGAATACTTGAGCTAAAGATGACTGCTGCCTTCTCCCCTGACAAGGATGATTTCAGTGATAAAAGCATCCAATAGAAAACTGGGTTTGGGGCTTTAATTCCTTTGAAGCTAATCCTCGACACCATTAAAGGTAGTGGGATAGGATGAGTGATGCAGCATTTGGTGATTTTAATCTGACTATTAAGTAAAATCTTGAAGCCATTCAAAACTATAAAGGACTTTCCTTCTCAATTTAATTCACCTGCAACCATACAATTCCCAGCCTACCATATTCCACATATAATTCACTAAGAATAATTCAAAATATCACCAAATATATATATATATATATATATATATATAGAGAGAGAGAGAGAGAGAGAGATTAATAGTTAAACTTGCATTGCATTTCATCATTCGTGGCATAATCTAAGCAATCATTAGGAAAGACAAAAGATTATCAAAACCAACAACATACCAGCAAAGCGAGGAAACACTAAGTTGCAGAGTGAAGTTGTAAAGAAACATGGGGCATATAAGAAGAGAAGAGAAACCTGGTGGGGTTTTTGAAGAGACCAGCAGAGACGATCGCCATGGCAGCTGGAGAATCTGCAACTTATCAGCTGAAAAATTGGTCACTCAAAGTATACTGGAAGCAACTAATTGAGAAAGGCAGAAGGGGTGATGAAATTGAAGGTTTTTGGCAAAAGTGAAGCTGAAGCCCCGCATGCAGAAACACGTGGCTTTGGGACCACACGCTCTCTCTCACAATTCAGAGACGTTTCTCCGCCATTAAAATTTGGAGGGAGTGGTGGAGATAGATAATGTTGAAATGACAAACACAACAAACACTGCGATGAGGAAGGTAATAAATCCCATATCTTTAGTTACTCAACCCCCGAGGATTGGCCCATCTATCACTTACTTTTTTCTATATCTTAAACGCACGCGCTCACCCTTATGTCCATATCATTACTTTGGAATGATGATGATGATATATCTTCAAATCGTTTGAAAAAAAATTGTATAAAACTGACGTCAACTCCAACTATCAAATCAATGTTCAATATCTCAACTTAATAAAGTATTTTCTTTAAATACATTAAATTAAATAACTTCATTAATTAAAAAGAGTATTTTTTTAAATCATAAATTCAAATAATTTTATCAACAGAGTATATGTATAATACTCAGTTACATGTGTTGATCATTTTTAGATAAAATTCGTACATTTCTTTTATTTTTCATTCATATTTTTTTCTTTTATTTCAAATCAACTTTAAGAGTTCTGATTTTTTTTATAAAAAAAAACCACTAATACACGCAAGAATGTTATGAAGGAGGATAAATATATAATATTTTTATATGAAAATATAATTAGCAAAAAATTGAATAGTAACTCATCATCACAATATCAAATCATAGCATTGATACCATTTGTCAATAATTTTAGAGAAGTTAATTAAATCAAAATCAACATAAATAAAATATACACACGAAATTTTAACGTGGTTTTATCTTGATTGTATACATTCATTTATGTCGGAAAATTTATAGTATAATTCTAAAATTAGTCTACAAATATTTATTAAAATAATCATTTTTGTCTATATTCATTTTTTTAGTATTTTGATCTTTAATGTTTTATTTTAAAGTATAAATGTTCCTAGTTTAGAGCATTAATCATTTAATAATTAATGGTTTTCATCTATAATGAGATTTTTTATCCTAAAATGAAATGCTAGGGGATCAAAATTTTCTAAAAAAAGAATAAGAAACAAAATAACTTTTAATAAACATTAGAATATATTTTAACATTATATTAAAATTTATTATAAATACAGAGATTACAAAGATTTCAAACATTTGATAACCAAACATTAAACTCTAAACCCCAAATAAACTTATTTATATATTTCCAAATGCTTGACTAAATATTTTATCAAATTCGTCTTTACATTTCTAAAATAAAGATCACATAAAATTAAATCTCTCTCATATTTCTCTCTTATAATTTTAAGTGTTAAAACATAAATTTAAACATCAAATAATCTTAAATCAATAAAATTATACAATAATTTAACTAGTTGTTGATTTAGATGTAGATGAATATCTTGTAATATCTCTGTCAAACATGTGATGATGAAGGATCGAAAATCTTAGAACATTGAGGCCATGAGTTGTGAACAAGACATTGAGACCATATTGATTAGCACGCTTGGTTAGCATGACAATATGGAAATGATACCATTCAACTAATGATATCTACACTGCTAAAGTGGGACATTATCGATTCAATCTTCTATTGCCACCAGTGTCACAAGTAGATAGTGTAACCTATAGAGATGGATCGATGAGAGGCGGACATTCATTTTTTTTTTTGAAAATTTCAAATTACCATATATTTTAATTTTTTCATTGATAATTTATTTTTACTTTATAGAATTTTATAAAAATTTTATAATTTCACCCTTTGCATTTGTGTCCGTCCTTAATAACCGGATTGGCGTGGAGGAGTCAAGTATTGAGAGCTTAAAACTACTATTCCCAAGGCTCGATCTTTTATATGGAAAACTTGTCATAAATTCAATGCCTCCAATTCCCACTCTTCCCCTTAACATATGGATTTCGTTCTTTTACAGATTCATGGGTTGAAATCAAGAACAGACTGCTAAAGTTTGGTTCCTTCATGGGTCTTTGGGAAGTTGTAAATATGATCTCATGTTGTTTGGGAAGTTTCAACGATGTTGTATGACAATTTCATTAGTCTCATTTGTTCGAGACATTTGCTTTTATTCACATATGTCAATGAAATATTAATTGTAAAGGGATGGATCGAAGGATGGGTGGAAGCAGTCGTCTCCTAAAATTTTTTAAGTACCGAATATGAGACATCTAGAGATAACAATCATCCTTTAACCATAGAGGTAGTTTGATTCATGCAATTTCATATGTAGTTTCATATGTCGTTTGAGTCTGATGATGTTATTTTTTTTTTATTTTTGGAATGGCAACTGATGATGTTTTTTCATCTTGGGTAAAAAATGGACATGGGTATGCCTTTTGTTTTTGCTTGTTCATGTAAATGCTATTTTTACTCACCCTTTGCTCTTAGTTAAATTTCATAAGAATAATGCATCAGTTGGAAATAATGGACTCAAGTTCATGGAAATGTGTGTAATCTGCTCCTTAAATTGATTGAATATAATATACCCTACAGGGCTGGTCAATGAAATTCTCTCTACAATCTCTTTCCACGTAAAATTTGATTCATGAAAAATATGTTTAATCAAGGACACATTCTACTAAAAAAAGACAGCAAAGAGTGATAACAGCTTATTTCATATTATATTTTTGTGTCGCCTTCTGAAAAGATAGGGAACATAAATCTCACATTAAAAAACATATTCTATATTTTAGCTAGATATCTTATTAGACATAATTTTTTACAAATAATATTAAAACAACCGACCTTTTGACTGTGAAATAGCCAAAGAGTGGAGGGAAATATTACACACTATAAATGTGTGAGACATAAATCCCACGTCGAAAAGAAAAATGAAAGTTCTGAAGTTTATAAATAATAACGATAAACGTGTCTTCTAAGATTTGCGTATGACTTGAAATCTTAGATGTAATTTTAGCATTAGCTACAACAGACCATCTTTTGTACAGAAATATTTATTTGTTTCATTCCAGGATTAGTTAAAAGAGAGTTAACAAGCAGGTTGCTTTGTTCATCAAACAGTAAATCTAGCATTCCCTACAATAGTAAAGCATGGAATTCAGTTATAGTAAGACATTGTTGAACCAAAACGAACGAGACCAACTTTTTTTCAACTCATTTGTCTTGAAGCTTAGAATGGCTCAGTGGAAATGTCAAAACCGACCCATCAAGTTTCACATTCCCTTCAAGGGTCAATTATAAATTGTTACCCCATCAACATCTCATAGCTCAAATGCCAGCACTATCAGTTGGCTGCCATTTCTCAAGTCTTCAATCGTTGTCCCCATATTTTTCCCACTTCCACTATTATGTAGGACGAGCAGTAAAAAAAGAATATTGTGAATTTATATGCATCGTCTATCATATATCAACAAATCATGTTGTATGAGCACCGTGCGTTCTCGAGGCCCATATACCAAACACAAGAAACCAGAACACAAACAAGATTGCCCAATAGCGAGCGGGTCCTGACTTGATCCTTGTCAGCACAATCTGCAATTACCAAGCCATTTCATAGAAAGCATTATCTCGTCTGAAATGATGACAAATAAACATCATCTCAAGCAAATGGACCATGCGACTATCTCCAATTCAGAATGCAGCTGAAATGTTCAATCTGCCACCAACTCATGAACCTTGAAAAAGATATAGTATTTATTTCATGCTGTCATTACTTTGATGCTAAGCAGTCTGACATATTATTTCAGATGTAATTCCAACTTTAGGTAATGATGATGAGACAACATCATCCTACTAAATTCACGTCTATTGTAGAGATCAAGCAAAGTTCAATTCAATTTTCCAATATAGCTGCTTCAGCAAAGAATAATTTGGTTTACAATAACCTCAAAGGATGAAAAAAGTTTACTGAAACAGAAATGGAACTACACAAGCATAAAAGAAAATGGCATGCCCGTTCTGACAATCTAGCAAAAGTATAGTAAAGTTTATCAAGATAATTGTTACTTTGTCAAGGAACAGAAACATAAACACATCATGTATCAACAACTTCCAAATATATTCCACATTTTCTCAAATCAAATGCACATAAGTTTAGAAAGCAAATAACTAGAGATATGACATCCAAGTTACTTACAAATCGAAAGAAGACCACAACTGTTAAAGCACATATGCCTCCCAAGAGAATATGAAGACCACTCCTAGCCGTTTTCTACAAAACAAGTAGCAGCACATAAACGTTATAATCCCTGAGGACTGAATGCATTATAAGTAATAAAAATAACTGCAAATACCTTTTATATACATAAACACAAACACTCGTATATATGACTAGATAACGTCTTGTATTCACAAGCTACTCAAATTCGACTGGAACAAATTTCAAATTCAATTCAGCCATTGTCGAACTGAGTTCCAGTATCATTATACCCAAATCGAGTAGCTCGCCAGCTTAATCGAACTTTTTATTCATAATATATTAAATATTTTAATATAAATTATGATTTACCCCTAATATAAATACACATTTAAACCCCAAACTTTTTTTTCTACTGTTTTCCCCTACTGCTCTCCTCCCTCAATCTCCACCCAAGGTTTTTCTTCATTCTCTCAAATTCATGTCTTATTTAAGTCTTGCCTCTTCTTCTCTCCTTCCTCGATCCTCACCCAAGGCTTGCATTTTCATTGTCAATTTACCACTTACCATACTGACATAATTTTCAGGTTTGTTTCTAAACTTTACTAGTCACACCATTTTGAAGATTTGGGCAAATGAGTTTTTTCCTTATTATTATATTATTTTTTGACAAGTTATTGGTTTTGGTTAATCCAAATAACAAATTGTATCATACCTGATAATACCATTCCATATTGTGAAAACAGCATGTTAGATTCTTCACAATTTCAATCTTTTGGTTTGGAATAAAAGAAATATTGCATGAATCTGGGTTTATATTAAAATTTCATCATTTAAAAAATGTATACAAAACAAGCTTGATTTCGAGCTTGTGTATGGGAATCAGTAAGTGAGTCAAGGCGTGCTTGAACTTAGAAAAATATGTTAGATTGAGCTCAAGCCCAGTATTGAGCCCTCGAGTTCTGAGTCGAGCTTGATTACCTTGATCGAATCTCAAGCCAAGCTTCAACTTAGAAAAAGATGTTTAATCGAATTTGAGCCGACTGTTGAGCCCTGAATTTTGAGTCAAGTTCGAGCTTGGCACTATTCTAGCTCGGCTTGATTACACCCCCTAGACAAGAACAAGTGATGTAGAAGCTATTACTATTATGTTATTTTATTATTCAGTCCTATTAAATATTAGACAATGGACACAGAGATATTTAGCTACTATTATAAGTTTTCTCTAGGGTTTAAATCTAGGGCTACAAATAAAACTTTATTTGTAACCCTAGTACAAATATGTTGTAAAATAGATTTACAACGAACATCACTATATTCTCTTAATTACAAGACTTTATAAACTTGAGGCTTTAATGACACTTTGTTTTCCTAGAATGTCAACTTCTTACTCATTTTTCATCCTTAGACATAAAGATATATAGCTACGATGATAAGTTATCTCTAGGGTTTAAATCTAGGGCTAGAATTACAACTTTATTTGTAAACCTAGTATAGATAAGTTGTAAATAGACTTACAAAAAACTTCATGAAATTCTTTTTATTACTACACTTCAGAAACAAAAGGTTTTTATAACATTTTGTTTTCCTAGAATGTCAACTTCTTACTCTTCTTTCAGCTTTAGTTCACTTTTTTTTTTGCTACTGTTTTCTCTCTCAACCACACTAATACATGGCCAACGGGAGACTAATGATGCTGCACAAAATGTACACGTAACATGTAAATGAAAAATATTATTGTTCCATTCAACCAATGGATAAGGATTCAGGAAAGGATTATTAAAATAGAATTGTTTTCCTCATTCAAGATTTTGGTTATGAAGAAAACATATGGATCTCTACAAACAACTAGGGTGATCCCAGAAACTCCTCTGATAAACTCAAAAACTCACGAGTAACAACACTTCCAGACTTCAGTCAAGTTGAAAATAATAACTGACCTCTGCTAACCAACACTCAAAAGTATTCAAGGTCTAAGAGTTATGGATCCTTCTACAAAAACATTGTTCATCAATATTTTATAGGTTGATAAAGGATCATAGGTCAATTTTTCTTTGAACCATGTCTAATTAGGAGATAGAGGATCATATATCAACATTCCTTTGAACCATGTCTAGCAGGCCAAATTCATACTTAGTCCATATGGTTTTACTTGAAAACGCGATAAAAAACCAATGTGCAACACAATTAGTATTTCCAGATTACAGCCGTACTAACAATGGCGGCTTACAAGTGAGCCATCTGAATATGTTTAGGTACCACTGATCAATTGCCACTTGTATGTACTAGTGTGGGCCTGGACTGACATCAACATTCTCTTGGTTTAAATTACACAAGTAAATTGCACTTCAGCCTAATTATAAGAAATTCTTAATTAAGAAAGAAAAAGAATTTTCTTAGAAATCTGATTAGCTGCAAATTACTTTTAAATATATAAAGACACTTAATGACGTGTATCAAACCCAGCACTCTCATTGTTGCAGATATTGTTCTCACTAGAACAGGGGGATAATACAGAAATCATAGCAATGCAAAATATGGCAGTATAGTGTGAAAGAAAGATTCAGCATGCATACATGTATGGAGAATGTTCATAAATAACTCAGTATGGGAAGAGATCAATGAAGTACTCGATTGAGATCTTTCCTCTCTTAACTTTTTCTTTCTAACAAGGGCATTTTCCATCAATTAATTAGTATAATCATCTCTTCTAACATTGGCTTAGAATTGAAAATATGTGAGTTTCCATAAATTTTCATGCACAAGCATATGGTTAAAAGTTTTCAATTACGGCAAGCTGATTTTTCATATATTGAATCTCTTTATTGGAAGGAAAAACAAAATGAAGTTCTTAACTTGTTAGACGAGCATTTATCATAAATACCTTTCCAACACGAGGAGCAATGAGCCATGCAAGCGTAACAGTAAGTAGACCAGTGGCAAGCAGAATTCCGGTACCTTCCACAGCCCACTTGGTTGCAGGATTTTCAGTTGGAGCTATTTCTTCAGTGACAGTATTTGGGGGCTGTTCAGAAACAACCTGTGAAACTGCAGAAGAACTATTGTTGTTGTTATTATTACCATGCGGGCTGAACCACAATGAAATCTCACTTAGTCGTTGCCTTCGAATAGCAGCAACAGCATCAGGGTCTACACCTGAACTTGTATGAATTTGAGCAGGATTAGGATCTCCACTAGCAGTCCTTTCTCTCAATGCTTCATAATCTTTCAAAGAAACTAGGACCTTCTTAAAATCGGAAGTCCTGATATGTTTTGCAGGATTTCCACAGATCTCACAAACTGTAGATCCATGACTAACAAACCATTTGAGAGCACAAGCATAATGCACTAAAGCAAGATCATTTTTACAAGAACAACCAAGTTCTATTAAAGCATCTTGATGACGACATGATCCCATTTCTAAATCAGTGCTACATATGAAAACATCTCCTCCAGGGCTTACGAACTCAACAAACCCGGATTCCCTCCTAAGACTCTTACCATGAGACTCATCACTTTCAACATCTTTTTGATCTCCTTCAATATTAGGCTTAGGTTCTCCTTTGCTTTTAACTGCTTCTTCTAAGGGAGGAGAAATACCCAAAAATGCTAAAGCAGCATCCCCTCTTTTGTCAGATTCTGAACACTGGCACACACGACAAGTGGGCAAACCTGCATCTCTGTCTAGACTATATCGCGAGTAAGTTCCTGAATAATCAATTTCAGCATTTGAGCAACTATCATTGTTGACACCTCCATTAACTGCTTGAGGCAGGTTTTCTTTACTCATCATGAATCCAATAAAGTTAAATAAGATCAGTTCAACCAAAGCAGAATATTATTTCTCAGATACATAATCTTAATCTTCCAAGAAGCCAATCACCCCATTGCAAAGTTCCAAAGCATTGAAATGAAGCAACACTATCTCTATACAAAATGGACAGTTCACAAATCACATCCGCATCCACTTCCACTTCCACTCCATTAAAAAATGGTTTTCTATTGTTTCTGCACGATCCAGGGCCTTAATTCAAGATAGAAACAAAGAACAATTGATGCAAGGAGGAAAATAGATAAAATTATCCAAAAATTAAGATTCTGTTTTAAAATAGTAAAACATCTTACCTTGTTTAACAAATATTAAAGCATGAAAATGCACACACACAAAAAAGAAAAAAAAGAATCCCTACAAATTAAAAACTTATCACTAACCAATTATGAGATATGCATAAGAAGAATTGTAACTAATAATAGCAGGTAGTTAATTAATTACATTCTTCACCAGATAAAAGGATTTAAAAACAATCAATAAAATAACATAAAATTTTCAAACAACATAACACGATATTTCCACAATTTGAATAAACACTAAAATATTCAAATATTAATTGTGAAGAAGAACCTGAAGTGGGTAGTAAGAAAGAAGAAAACACATATAAATAATTAAAGGCATAGGAAAGGAACATTAATAATTAAAAAGTAGGAAGTCAAATAGAGTCAAACCCAAAGCGGCAATTCAACTAAACAATATGCAGGCATGAAGAAGATGAAAAAGAATCAAGGGAAAAGCAACATAATCATAAACTTAACACGCAACTCAAAGTCTGTAGAGAAAACTGGTTAAGCAATAAATAATTATAGACAAAACACAAACAAACAAACAGGGATACCAAAGAAAACCCAGAAATCCTAGATCAATAAACTAAAGAAAACAAAAGGAGTGTTGAAAACAAAACCAACCTTTGGAAATTGGGATGGATCGGTGAAATTGTCAGCAAAAATAAGGGGGATGAGAGGCGGAAAGAGAGTTGTTGGGGGAGAGTAGATGGTAAGGTGGGGCTGTTCAGCTCCTATGGTTCTGTTGTCTTGTTTCGTGGGCTTCACAATTGCTCTACTTTCTTGGTTTTGGACTGTCACTTGGCTTCCATGGAGTCGGCTCCTTGGAGGGTTTCCACGGCCTCCCTCTCCGTTTACTTTCCTTCGGTATTTTGCCTTGTAAGTTACGTCCGTTTGTTTCGAATAACTTAACCTTTTTTATATATAAACAAATGGAGATTTCCGGAAATGTCTTTCTTTTTCGAATTGAAATTTTGGTGGAAATGGGAAATTTTTATGTTGGAATAATTTAATGAAAATTGCTATCCATAAAATCTAGGAATTAACCTTGTCGGTTGAAGACAACCATTTCAAAGGAATGGTCTGAATTTAAGGACGCATGCGTTTAAAACTCTTTATTAGTGCGATAAAACGATTTCATTTGAGCGATTAAAAGAATATTTATTATCTTTAAAGATTTTAAATTTAAACATAATGTCTATAAAATTATATATACATTTATTATTAAATAATTAAAAATATTTTAAACATATGGCCTTAATTTTCTCTTTGATATCTCGTCACTCGTGATTTATCTAAAATTTGTCTCACACGATTTCAAGTCGTACAATGATTTTAAATTCATCTCATCTGTGAGCTTTGATCATGGTAGGGAATGATTTAAGTGTGTGATTCGATACTAATCAAATAATACGACACTAACTTCAACACCGATCCATGGATGTCAAGTTTAAAGTTTTATATGTTTGCCTTATAAATTTTCAAATAGTAGTTGTTTGCGTTGAAAGTTTTTTTTTTATGCTTGATAACGGCCCGATTTTTTTAAGTAGTTTGTGTGATTATAAAGTAATATCAGTTTATAATTTTATTAACCTATTAACAATACACATTCCCTATAAACTCCGCTACTTGAACTCATTAACTCTAGAAATATTAATATTTTTTTATACTAGTGAAGTACTTAATGGGTTACACCCCAAATTTTAGTATTATATTTCCTTTTACCTTTTTTCCCAAATAGAAGTTAATTTCACTTCTAATATGTGCCATAACATCCTATTAATTTTACACGGAAAAATCATCTTTGTTTTTCTTTGTGTTTTTCGAACTCGGGTGTACGAATATTGAAGAGTTATATCTATTTCAACAATTGCATAATTGAGGAGACATTGATTCTTCCATGACACAACTATAATATAACATATTTCGTTTGAATTATTTTTTTCAATTCAACACTAACTTTTATCTTACAATAATCTATTTTCCTAACATAGATTTCACCTCAAATACTTAAATAATTCTACGTTTCTCTTATTTTTGGCCCATTTTTCTAATTTTCCTAAGTGGGTATTTTTCAAATTGTGGTAAGTGTTTTATACCAAACATCAAGGTAAATCTCCTTTATTTTACTTTTTTCTCTGAATTAAATTTTAATATCTTATAATAATATATCATTGATTCGGTTACTACAATAACTGATAAAGGTGATCCGAATATCAGTTTCTTTCCATGATCCATCTCTCCATATTTCTCTTTATAATATTATGTTCTCGAGTTACTCTAGATATGCTGTGCTTGAATTATAATAAAGTCGGTTGTTAACGTACTATCATATTCTATCACAATATTTATCCTACATCATCAACAATAGAATTTATTTTATATTTTATTTTCTCAAATTATTAATTCAAATTTTCAATTATGTAATTTTATTTTATGAAATGAGCGAATAGAATTTAAAAAACTTTAAATGAAAAAGGAAAATTCCTCGCATATGTTAATAAAATAGATAAAATATATATTTAAAATAAAATTTGCGTTTATGATAAGTTAATATTTGACCAGCTTAGTTTGGGCTTAATTCATTTGGTCTCATATTGTTTTCAGGGCCTAAATTAAATAGGTAGCCCATGCAACGTATTCTATCGTATATTTTCTAATTATATATTTTATTAAAAAAAATGAAAACAACAGTCACTGCCATCCTATTTTATCATTTACATAATTTCATATATTATATTTTTGTTTTTTTAATAAAAATATTTGTATTTCTATCTTTCATGAAGATTACTTTTTAAAGTTTATTAAATGTAAATTTTATTTATGAAAAGATAATGTGCCTTATAATCGTACTCAACAGAACACATAGAGGTCACACATTTGTCCCAACAAAGAATTTTCTACATACACAATGACTCGAACTTAATACATGTTTAAGTAATATCAAGTTGTTTACCACTTGAACCAACCCTCTTTAGTTATGGAGTATAATTTTAAATATATTAAAATGATAAATGTAAAAGAATGTTATATATACTTCACATATATTTATATAATGAAATATATTAAAGAATTATAAATTAAAATTTTATTTATAAATAAAGCATAAATAATAATTTAATAATAAATTGTTATAACATACCATATCAACATAATTTTTTCATAAGCAGAATTTAAATGATAACACATATTTCACTTTAAAATTTTAAATAGAGATATAAAACACATGTTATGATTAGGTATGTTAATGGGTTGATTTTTACGGAGATTCATTTCATTTCAAATCCAACGAAACGAAAACGAGTCTCTCAACTTGCATGATATTTGTATATTGTATATAAATATATGTACATCATATATGATTATAAAAAAAAGTTGTTTAAATTGAACCCTTTATTTTCCCGCAATATTTTTATAAACATATATTACCTTTTTCTTATCAGGTTAATAAAAAAACGAACCCCTTTATTTTCCCGCAATATTTTATAAAATTATTCAATTAGCCAAATACCGTACTTTAAAAAGTTGGAAAAATTAAAGTTCACATATAATTTTTAATCGGTTTTAGCTTACTATATATCATTTTCATTATTAAACTATTCAAAATTTATTATCGAGTTACCCAAAATTATTATATGAATGTATCATATTATATAAAATAGAACATATTATATATTTTCAATCAATAATGATTTTTTCATATGTTTGATATTATATTATTTTTTATTATTCTAAAATGATTATAAGATAGTATATGCCTAAATATCCATAATTATTTAATAATAAACGTTTAAATATATTTGTATTGTTAGAATTAGGGATGACAACGGGATGGGTTTTTCGTCAACTTGACTCGAAAAATATATATACTCCACAAGAACCTAACGTGACCCGAAAATATATATCCTTCACCCTACCAAAACTATATATATCCTCTACTCGACTTGACCCAATATTTTAGAATATAAACCCAATCCGACCCGATATAAAATAAGGATTTAATTAAAAAAAATAGAGAGAGGGAGTATTATAACAAATATCCATAAATTTATTTGAAGAAATTACACTATTACCTTTGGGTCTGACCAAGTTGGAGTTTTTTCACTCTCCATTCGAACTCGACCTAGCCTAACTCGATCTTTATTTTTTTTAACAATTCTCTTTAATTACAAAAAATCACTTATTCGTGCCATTATGTTTGATATTAAAATTAACGAAAGCGGACTAAAATTAAAAATAGAAATTGGAATTCACAAGCAACACCATTTATCTCAATCAAAAAGTAGTAACCAAATAGGCCGTCACGGAAATCATAAATGATAGAGATATTTAAACGCCGCAAAACTTGTTAAATGGTACCATAAATTTACCCTACACGTTCTCATAATTAGAGGAAAAAGAAATTGTTTGTGAGCTGCACACTCATTTATTTGAATATTATATCATGTTTCTGTCATCTTAATGCCAACTAAAAATCAAAATTCAAGGATGGAACCGAATAGAAAGTTGTGAATTAGGATTAAATATCGGGAGAAATTAATTTGTTTAGTTTTAAAATGATTGGCACCTAATAAGAATTTAAATCGAAAATTTTTACGAGATTGTTGATTAAGATGTCACATAAAATAAAAACCGTGAATGATAAGATAAACATTATCCTACGTAACAAAAAATAAGTTATTTCAATAAATAATATTGTTTTAATAGATAATTTTAAAATTAATATATATAAGTGAAAAAAGGTTTTAATTTAAGCTGCATTTAAATTATCCAAAGTTTTAATGTTGATGATCAGTACCGTACATTTACCCTGCATCTGCATGGCCCCATAATTTAACCTGGGTCTCAAGGAAAGCTCTAGGTTGGCTAGGTATAACAACCGAGGAAGAAGGGCTGTTTTTAAATATATTTATTTCTTTTTTCTTTTCTACACTGTAAAGTTGCTTTTGTGAATTTACCAAACCTCTATTTTAGTTGAAATCGTCGCACAATGGTGTGTTTGACTTCAATGCCTTGCTTTGTCTCCATGGAATATATATATATATATATTGAAAGGGGTGCACTTTGTATAAATACAAAGATCGGCACGGCTATGAGTTTCATTAAAAAAAACTTCCTTATACTTAATTGGAGTAAAAAGGGTGTAACATGGACGTGCAAACATCAAGCGAGTACAAAAACAGGTTCAAACACAATCACAAGAAGAACCCTTGAACAACGAAAAACACATCCCTCCTGCACAAAATCCTCTCTGTCTTCTGCAGATTAAACAATTTAATTTGTCTCATTACACTATTAAGGTTTAAACCTTTAAATATAACTTATCATCTAATTAGATCAATTATAATCTATGTTTATTATCTTTAATTCACTGAACTCATTGAGTGCTCTCAATGATTACAGGAAATGATGTTCTCTCTTGAAGTATTGGGTTTGACACAGCTGCATCTACACAATGTGCGTACATTATCAATAGCTAAGAAATTTTTTGAATAAATACTACTCTATAATCACATCAGACTATTAAAAATATATACATCTTTAATTCATCTCCCAATCATCACTCACTTTTCAGGAACGAAAGGAACACCTAACCATTTTTTATTTTTAATATTGAAAATGACTTAGTTGCACGTGTCTCTATCATTTCAAATTAATTTTAAAATATTTTATATCAATCTCAAAACTATGACTCTTTATAAATTGATCCTTAAATTTTAAAGCATTCTATATCAATCATCAAATTATTCATATCATTCTATTATGATATTTTTGTTAATGAACGTTAACTCTACTAATTTTTTTTAAGGTCATGTCAGCTGAACTTGTGACCTTCAAAAAAAAAAAGTAATTTGCTTTTGAAGGTATAGAGAATTGAATCCG